GCCGAGTGAGGAGGGTTTGGGCAGGAGGCGGCTGGAGCGCGATGGCCAGTGGGTGTTTCGCTGCTATTGCTTTTCCAGGTCCGCTGGGGATAGCGTCAAACGTCCCTTGTGTCACAGGAAGCCGGCCGGATGGCCCAGGAGGCTTAGCATGCCTTGTGAGGCACGTTGTCACCTCCCTTCCATTAGTAAGTATTGCCCAGCAGCGTACCTGTGGTCCAGAGTACTAAAGAACGAACAACTAGCGTTTTTATTTTCCTACAAGCGGCGGTTGCTTAACGAGGTTGAGGTGGGTTATACTGGAGGTTAGAGGAGAGCCGGGTAGGCGGTGGAGAAGTTGATTGGGAAGTATCTCGAGTGCTCTCTTACCGTGAGGCAGGATCCAGTCTATTTAAACTTATCCTTGACAGACATTTACTTAATTGGCTCTTGCAGATTATTAAATTCATGGAGTGCCTTCTCCCCCTCTCCAAGGTAACCTGCTTCAATGCTTAGCTATCATTTATAGTTAAAATTTTTCTTAATAGCTTCCCCAAATATCCTTTGTTGAAGCCAAGCTGAGAATTATCTTGCGCTATCCAGAGTAGACCTGGAGAACAACGGATCAGTGTTCTCTTGTCAGCAGACTTGTTTCCACTCACAATCTTCTCCAAACTGAGTGAACCCACTCATGTTTCTCTGGTCCCTGAGCTCTGTTAAGCATTTCCAGCATCCTTGGACTGTTAGACTCGGAACTAGGTGCAGTACTTCAGTGGAGATACTGTTAGCTCTGAGGAACTGGGGTGATTATCTCCCTTGTGTATGGCATCTCTCCTAAAAACATTCCAGAATGGTATTGTCTTATTTGGCAACATTCTCACATTACTGAAATATTCAATTTGTGATCCACTGTAAGCCAGATCCTTTTTTGCTATGCTGCTACTCAGGGTATCCATGTTTGGTTTTTTTTCTTTACTAAGTATATTATTTTGCACTTGTTATTAGTTTGAGAAGAAGTTATCTTGATCATCATAACATAACTTTTTCTATCTAATTTAGTCTCTGAAATCTGCTCTTCCAATCCCCTTCCTCCAAGTTTGGGGTCATCCACAAATAGTTAATTAAAATACCGAGTAGTGCCGGGCCCTGCACATTGTGATGAACCCTTCCAGTTTGACAGTTTGACTTTCTCAAACACTTTCTTCTTGTTTTTCATGTTTCCTACTAAAGCTGCAATTCATTCTGTGCCATGGCTTTGCAGCTAAGCTAAATCCTACAGAGAATCTTAAGTGAGGAAACCATCGATTTCTTTAAATTGGCTTCTGTGCACAGAGTAGGGATTGCTCACTGCTCAAAAACTAAAAATGTGTGTAAAATCCTGAACCCTTCTGAAGTTTTGGTGCCTTGCATATGGCTTCTGGATGTGCCAGACACCTGGTTACAGGTTATGGAGAATAATAATTGCTGGCAGTTTCCATTCTCCCTCTTGAAGCTGTTATATGCTATGTAGAGAGAACTGAAAATTGAGACATCAGGCAAACCATGTAACCCATTTTGCAAAAATAATGGAATGAAGGTTTTCTGTGGTTTTATTTCCTACCTATAAAACAGTAATTTCTACTTTGCAGGACACTATGAAAATAAGTATTCCTAAAGCAATATCCAAATGATAAAAATGTCCTCAGAATTACTGCAGATATTAAAAAAAAAAAAAAAGGCATAAAAATGAATGTATATTTTTGTATGGATATTCAGGTGTGTGGAAATACCAGTCTGCAGGCATAGTAAGCTGCCTGCTGCTTTCATCCCTTCTACTCAACAAACAGTAGTCAGCTACAAGGTGGTTTGCAAACTTTGACAAAAAACTGCTGAATCACTTAGGAAAAGAAAAAAAAAATTACTGCATTAGAGGATGTTGAAGATTGTGAGTCATTCATATGCTATCATAGTATGGCACGTGCCTGAGGTAGATGGGTCTGCCCCCCCTCCTGTGTTCTAAGTTCTTTTAAATTCTTTTCTCATTCATTTCCTCAGAAAAATCTGCTTTGATCCTAACTTTTTTCAAAATTGCATTTGCTTTTTTAGAGAGCTTTCTGGAATAACCATACAAATGCCTCGTTCTCACCCACTTAATACAGTATCAGCTTTGTAACTAATACATTAATGCTTGGTTATGCTTGTAAGGGATTACTTTATCTGACCACAAATGGTCCATGAAACTGAGAGTTAGAGGCGATATTTTGAAAATTTTTAATGCTGAAGTAATTAAAAAATATTCTGAGAAGCAGCAACCTGTCGATTAGAATGAAAGGACTGTTCTTGTGATGAAAATGCAGCAGACTAAGCGTATGTAAACAGCAAAGTTTCTTTCTCTTAAAATTGCATTTCATTGTGGAAACATCATAAACAAAAAAAATCTAGAGTTGGGGATTAAGCATAGATAAACATTATGAGTATATTGACTTCACTGGAAGGAAGAGTCCAGCATTGGCAGGGTCATAAGCTAAATAATCGTACAGGTATTGTCCTCTATCCTCCACAATAAATTTTTTTTTCTTTTCATTCTAATTTGTTTAGATGTCTCACATTAAAAATCATGGAGCTAGGAAAGGCGAAGCTTCTGAGAACTGGCCTTAATGCCTTACACCAAGCAATTCACCCTGTGCATGGTATTGCCTGGACAGATGGGAAACAGGTGATACTAACTTCTTTACACCTTCATAATGGAGAACCAAAATTTGGTGACTCGAGTGTTGTCGGTCAGTTTGAACATGTCCATGGACTCTACTGGGGCCCATGTCCCCCTGATGCCCCAGCTCTGCTCGCTGTTCAACATAAAAAGCATATCACCATTTGGCAGCTCTGTTTTAATGTTACAGAAAGAAATAAGCTCTTAGTTTCTCAGATATGCGACATCAGCGAGCCATTTCCAGTGCTCCCCCAAGGCTGCGTATGGCATCCGAAGAAGGAGATCTTGGCTGTGCTAACTACACGGGATGCCTCCGTCTTGCACTCTGTTCATCTCAACAACTCAAGAATCAAAGCAGATATTAAAGGTAGCGGTCTCATCCACTGCGCTTGTTGGACGAAGGAAGGCAATCGCTTAGTAGTGGGAGTAGGCAGTGCCCTTCATTCTTATATTTGGGATGATGCTCAGAAAACACTGAATGCTTGTTCTTTTTGCCCAATCTTTGATGTGGGAGGCTACATCTGTGCTGTGGAAGCTACTCTGAATTTCCAAGTTGCTGTTGCCACCGAGCTTCCTCTAGACAAGATCTGTGGCTTAAATGCTGGTGTTGCATTTGAAGTTCCAGCGAGCAGTGAAACAGAGTCCTTCCCCTCGCAGTCCAGCTTATGCGGTGAGGAAGAGTATTCCATGGATGGGGGGAGAAAATCACTGGACTCTGAGAAGCCCTTGTCTGTAGTTACATCTCCTGTGGATCTTACTCACATACTTTCTAGCAAGCAGGGTGCTGATTCCAGCCCTCTTCTTCATCTGAGGCCCAAGGACTACCTAACGGGAAGTGGCCAAGATTCTTCGCATCTCATCTTGGTGACTTTTGAAAGAAAGGTTACCTCTACCAAAAAAGTTAGCATCCCAGGCATTCTGGTTCCTGATATAATGGCTTTTGACCCCAAAACTCAAACTGTATCAGTTGCCTCCAATACTTGTAACATTATTTTAGTCTATTCACTGACTTCATCCAATTTACCCAATATTCAACAAATTCAGCTAGAGAAAAATGAGAAGCCAAAGGGTTTGTGCTTCTTGACCAATAAATTGTTACTGATACTGGTTGGAAGACAAAAATTCACTGACCCTGCATTTCTTCCCTCTTCAAGGTCAGACAAATATATGATCCGATTGATGATTAAGGAACTAATATTTGAAATGGGTCCTTCCACATCTGCATCAGTTAATGGGAGCTCCAATTTGAACCTTTCAAACATACCTCATAATCTCTCTGCAGATGTTCACCCTCTCAGCCGTGGACTCCTGATACCAGATTGTGCTGCCATTCAGTCCCCTGCCAGCAGAAGGAAACTCATTGAAGAAATTAAGAGTCCTGTTTATGAACAAAGCTTGTTGAACATGAGTGACCTCAAAGATAAAAAGATTTCCATGAATTTTCCTCCAGCTGTTGAGTCTCTCGATGCCGAACCAGTTAATCGGGCTGTGGCACTGTCTGCCACATCGCTGGCGTTTTCTAACAAGCCAACATCCCCAAAAAGGCAGGCAGATGCAGCTTCCAAAATACTGAATTCTTACAAGAATAACCTATTAAGTGAAAAGGAGGCGAGTTACTTTTCGAAAAATGTAGAAAAACTGTCTGGTAACTTCACAGAATTACAGCATCATCTCTCTGAGTTAACTGAGCTGCTAAAATCTGGGAAGAGAAATCTTCCAGTCTACCCATCTTCTCAGGAACCCTCTTTTATTAACGTCACCTGCCAGGTAATTTTAATACTGGGAGCCTTAATGATAAAATCTCTTAATGGATGTATGTTCTTTGTACGGATTTAAAACACGAACTCCTGTTAGATTGTGCGCAGGAAGGATGACATCCTGTGAATGTTTAGTACATGCAAATTCGGTACATATGAATGATCTCACTGCATGCAGGTGAAACTGATAGGAGTCTTACTTAGACTTATTTAGGCTTTACGTAAGCCTGGCTTGTTTTTGTTGTCCTTCTTCCCTGCTCTTACTGTAATTGCATTTTAGTCCCTATTTACAGTTATTTTAAAAGTATGTATTTGTGTTTTTCTCTGATGGGAGATAGAATGAGGGAAATATTTCAGATAATTTTTTAAACTAAACTTAAAGTAATGTGTCTGAAATTGTTGCCATTTCAGTAGATGCTGTAGTAGTGCTTTCATTCTCGCGCAGTTACCTGTACCAGTGGTAAAAACAGAGCATTCCTGGGAAAAAAAGACCGTTATCATGTAATGGTCAATAGCATTAGATTTCCATCCTGTTCCTGTAGGTGGGACTAATGTTACAAGTCCCATTACTCTGCAGGCTTTCAGTGTTTTTAAAGCGAAGTAATATTCGGGAATGTGCAGCTCCCTGTCCCCACCTCGCGCTGGGCTGAGCTCCTTGGCTCTGACCGGGCAGGCGTACCTTCTCCTTCTGCACAGAGGCTGGTGGGGCTCCAGAGAACCCACACCTGACAGTTCAGTTGCAGAATTGAAGACTCCTATGAAGTTCTAGGAAAGGAATGTTTTTCCTAGGCAGCTTCTGAAGCTTTCTGTTTAGAAATTGAGTCAAGTGAAAATTTCCATGTATGGGAATTGGTATCAATCTCTTGTTCTCCTGTGAGAACAAGTAAAATAATGGAGACTGAAATAAAACAAGAAAAATGCTTTGGCTCTGAAACTGAAATGTTGCTAATTAGTATTGAGAGCACCATCTGAGAAGGAAAAGAGACCCTTTGGGACACGATAGATAATTCCATTAACATAGCTTAAAAATGGATTTAAAATCAAATTTCATGTGAAAGACACTTTCCTTGGCTGAAAGAAGGCACTTCCAAATCTCATGCTAGAAAGCGTAAGTTACCTGATTACCAAAACATGGCACAAATCTTCTAGGTCTCTTCTAGAATTCAGATTAATAAACCTTAGTCAGTATTCAAAGTATTTTGAACTGCTGTTTTTCTTTCAATAAGCTCTGATTTTTCAGCTTTATTATTGCAAAAAATTATTATTATCAACTTTTGTAGCATTGAACTCTTAGGTCCTAGATCATATTCCCTCACTCTCTTTGCTATTTTCCATTGTAACATTTAATAATTGTAATAACTCTAATTTTTCTAGATCTCTCAAGTCTTAACTATGTATGGGGCATTACTCTGAAAAGTGAAAGTTTCCTTTAGCAAGTCTGGTGTCTTGTTTATCTGAGGTGTTTGTTTAGATGCCTACTTTAATTTGAGGTAGCACAAATCTTTGTTACATTTTTATATTCAGCTCTCTTTTTACATATATTTGAAATTGGGTTACATATCAGCTTGTCTTGGTGTTCCAAGAGCTAGATTAGCTACGCTTGCGTGGGGATGCTTCGCAAATTAAAGTAATGCTATAATTTTGTCTCCATATTTTGATCACTGATGATTTGTGGCAAGAAAAGCGTTTGACTTTTGAATTACAAGTGACATTGGAAAGCCTGGCAGAAAATGCTGTGTTTTAACTTTACCCAGAGTATATTTGATTCAGAAATCATTAACAGGCAAAGAGGGATCCTCACCTCATGTGCTGAGCCCCAATTGTTTCTCTACTGCCCAAGTTATTAGCTGTATTTTACAAAATGTTAAGGAAACCCAAAATGTCCCAAATAAGCAGTGTCTTTGAGAGGGCAGAGTTTATCAGTGCAGGGAGCAAAGAGCACGTGTACATCTCCAACCTCCCCTCTACCATACGCGCTCCTTGCAGATGGATGGGTCCCTCCACAGCATAGGAAAGGAGTCAGAATTTACTTTATCGTGTTTTTGTCGTGACCCAGAGATGTTAGCAAGGCTTCTCTGGGAAGTGACATGGTTGCGTGAATTTTATCCTATGCAGAGACAGAGTTTGTAGTTTTGGTAACAACTGATCTTTTGCAGATTTTAAAAATGCTTTGCTCTGCCCCGTGGGGGATATTCTTTGAAGACGCTTTTTGGATTTTAAGGCTGGGGGCAGTGATGGTCAGAGGTGAGACAAACAAGCCCTTGTGATTTGTTAGTCTGTTCCTGGTCCCAAACATTCATGGGCAGGAGTTGTCACCTCTTCTTAAGCTGTGGATCAGGGAGGGGGCAGGATGGAAAACCTGCAGCTTTACAGACTCCCCAGGAAAAAATGTCCCTCACAGGTGGTAGGATGAGTGTCAGGATTGCGCTGTGGATCAAGCTCATGGTTTCTTCAGCAGCAATGCATGATTTCCTCTCCTGTTGTTCTGACACGTGCTGAATTAGCACAGTTACTTGCTGCTATCACTCACAGATCATTTCTTTGAGAACTGAGACTTTAAAGTATAAATCTTGCAAATGGGTCTAAGTGAATGTAGCGTTTGACTTTCTGTAAATGGTGTAGTTGAAGGCATGTCTGTGATCCTGTTTTGATTAATGCCATTTTGACATCTCTTAATATACACCACAGTATCTAATGATTCTTTCTTGAATTTACAGAAGCAACTTTCCAGAAGTGATTCAGATGAAAGACGAGCTGTTATTCTTTGTGGTGGTAAACTCCGTCTGAATATAGTCCAGCAGATATTCAATCTCTCTCTTGTAGAAATGCAACACGGTATGTTGTAATTATCCGATAATACAAACACTTTAAACACATGCAACATTCTCGGTGAGCAGTAGCAATATGCATAATCCCATCTGGAAAAAAACCAAGGAATGAATAATGAAAGATTATTAATAAAATTTTGCTCATTTCTTTTATAACATAAAGATTCTTCTCTGGGCTTTTACTGAGAAGAATCTTTACATTATAAAAAAAAAATGAGCAAACTTTTACGTATTGATACCCTCTTATCAAGTAGCTAGTTACACAGGAAAATTACTGTCACACAGTATTTTGTTTATGTTTTCAGGTATTCTAAATAGAGAATTCTGAGTAATGAGGAGATTAGTCTTGACTGGTGGTTTTGGAATACAGTTTTCTACATTTTAATCTGTAATTCCAGCATCTGGTCTCGTTTAAGAAATCCTATAGTTTTTTATAAACACAAAAGTAGCGCTATAAATTTTAGCGGTGCATTTCACTTCAGTTTTTGCTGTGGTCTTCTCTGCGGTTATCCATTCATCCTGTGGATATCCTATGTACATGTCAGTTCTAAGTGTCTGACTTTTAGCTAAGGTAGGAAACATACTTTTGGGATATCTCTTGCTACTACAGATATTCTCTGTACTATATTCCAGCTACTGGTGGTTTTGGAATACAGTTTTCTACATTTTAATCTGTAATTCCAGCATCTGGTCTCGTTTAAGAAATCCTATAGTTTTTTATAAACACAAAAGTAGTGCTATAAATTTTAGCGGTGCATTTCACTTCAGTTTTTGCTGTGGTCTTCTCTGCGGTTATCCATTCATCCTGTGGATATCCTATGTACATGTCAGTTCTAAGCGTCTTACTTTTGGCAAAGGTAGGAAACATACTTTTGGGATATGATCTCTCACTACTACAGATATTCTCTGTACTATGTTCCAGCTACTTGCCTACCGTGTCTGCTGTCTGCCTGCTTGCAGATTACTGAGCGACTATCCCAAAGCCTTAAGGCTGCTGTTCTTATCATTGTGCAAGTTTTATTTTTCTTTAACTAGTTGTTGGTATATGTTTAGTATTCCAATACCTAGATAAAACTGTAGTCGGATAATTCACTAGCAATTGAATCTTGAAAAGGTTCCTACCGCTATCGTACATTAGTTTGTAGTTTTCCTATTGCAGGATCAGTTACCTGCATTGAAACACAGTGACTGTTTTAATAATGTTGTGGCACAACCCAGAAATGTGTGATGTACCCAGTGATAACAGTGAGCAGTTTTGTAGATACTGATCTCTTAATTTTTCAGACTGGAATTTTATTTTGAGCTATAAGACTTGAACAACTTCTCTTTCTGGCAGGAAAAATGTCCCCATTACCTGCCTTAGTTTCGACTTCTCATTTTTAGCTTAAAAATGTAAACTTAACAGAATTGATTGCCCAGGAATGAGTAATCATCATGCATACGACTAACCTTGCTAGATAAAGTTTAAAAGCAAACAGTGTTAACAGTAGGTTTCTTTATTAATTTTACAACTATTACTAGATAGATGGGCAAAGAAGGAATGATATTTTCAGATTCCTGAATTGTACTGATTTTAAAGTTTGGTCCAAATGGGATATTAAGCCAAAAGATTAAAGGGTTGCATGCTTTTAAGCTACAATCTTCTCATGACCTTACTTGTGACATGAAGTTACATAATGTAAATGTACAAACAGCTGGAAATGTTTCTCTGAATTCCCTCACCCCTCACGAGCCTATTTTATTTCTTCATCAACTTAACAGATACAAGTATGAAAATTTCTGGTTTGTATGAATTGGTCGAAGTCTGTTTCAGATTCAGTAAACAATTTCAAATTGTAAAAATAATGCTAATGATGATGTGAAGTCAAATAGCAGGTGGACCAGAGGCATGGGGTTTGTGCAGTATAGTACAATATATAGTATGTATTTCTTCCTTGTATTTATTGGAATTAATTATATTGAAATTACATAATAGAAGCTGTTTCTAAATTGTTTTTATTATATTAATTTGTCATCTAATTTAATAAATTTCTGCTTTTTACAGTATCTGCACAGCTTAAGCACTGTGAAGTAGCTTATGAATACCTAATTAAAAGCAAGTCTGGATGCTTATGAACTCTGTTCAGAATTTCATTCCTCCTCCTCATTAGAGGCGTGCATTTATTATAGTCTCATCTCCTAGTGGCAAAATTGGTCAGAAAGCTGTTTCGCATAGTTGTTAACTGTCCTTTATTTTGGGGATTATACAACCTGTATTTCCCCATACTTTTTTTTTCTTGCTAGAAAAACTGTAAACATACAGAAGCATTTAACTTTAATTTTAGAAGAAATATGTTTTATACCTTAAACATACCTAATTACAGGAAAACTTATAAACAGACATTTATGTGTCTTCACAGGTTCATCTTGGATTGTTCTCACAGCCGACAGTGAGGGCTTTGTTCCGTTAATGTTTACACCCACGCAGGAGATAGTCGTAAGAGATGCCAGTACAAAAGGCTACAGTGCCCGTTCTTCGAAAACTTTGGACATCATCAGTTCTACAGAAGGGTGTAGACCCAATTCTTCTGAAAGTCTGGATATCACGAGTTCTTTGGAAGTCCTCAGAGACTGCTCCTCCAAGACTTTAGATAGCAGCAGTCCTTCAGAACAGCCCAGCAGTAAAATGTAATTTTTGACAGTGATTTTGTAATGCCTGTCTTACGATGGGAGACTTCTAAATTTACTGTACAGGACTGCAAATTCTAAACAACAGTCTGTCTCAAATCTCTGTTGGACTTCCATAATTTTTTTGTGGCATATCACTGTAAATTATTCATTTGATCCTTGGAACCATTAACTTTTTTTTATACTGAGCAGTGTTTTTTAAATATGCCTCTTGCAGTATAGACCAGGTCTTTGTATCAGTGGTTGAAAACGCGTGTTCTTACAAGCTTCCGAGCTAAAGTTTCCATCTTGGTCTTTAATGTTGGTGTTTTTAGATGGTAGTAAACTTGCATAATAAAGAAATCCTTGAAAACACTGCATTGCCCCCCATTTCCTCACTTCTGTCAAAGCCTGAAATATTATACTACTGTTGTTTAGAAATAGCATCTGCAGACGTGCATGTGTGTTTGCACTGGTGTTAGTAAGGGTGTAAGCACTAGTTTAGGTATATGGAGTTTGGGACAAAGTACGGTCATGTGGCATGTCCATAGCGTGTAGAAGCAAGACCCTTTTCCCCTCCTGTGCCCACCAGTAATGCCTCTCTGTGCTTGCTTCTCTGTGTCATCTTTTGCGGAGGGTTGAGCCCAGCTGGCAGCTGAGCCCCCACCCAGCCGCTCACTCACTCCCCTGTGCAGGATGGGGGAGAGAATTGGACCGGCGAAAGCAAGAACAACTCGTGGGTTGAGATAAAGGCAGTTTAATAAGTAAAACAGAAGCTCTGTGTGCAAGTGAAGCAAAATAAGGAGTTTATTCAGTACCTCCCATTGGCAGGCAGGTGTTCAGCAGCTTACGGGAAAGCCAGGCTTCACCAGGTATAACGGTTACTTGGGAAAATGAGCGCCATGACTCTGAACATCCTCCCCTTTCTCCTTTCTCGCAGCTTTTATTGCTGAGCATGACGTCATATGGTATGGAATATCCCTTCGGTCGGCTGGGGTCACTGTCCCGTTTGTGTCCCCTCCCAGCTTCTCGTGCACCCCCAGCCTCCTCGCTGGTGGGACAGAGCAGGAAAAAGAGACAGCCTTGATGCCTCGCAAGCTCTGCTCAGCAATAGCCAAAACATCGGTGTGTCATCAAGACTGTTTTGGTCACAGATCCGACCCGATGCAGGCTGCCATGAAGAAAACAAACTCCATCCCAGCCAGACCCAGTACGTTGTTGTAGGCATAAAATGACTTCAGTTACATTTGAATAACTGACCATTTGCTAGTTACTATTTCTAAACATCTCTTGTCTTCATATTGAAATTTTTCTATTACCTTTGAGACAATACTGTCAATATTAACAACATTGCCTTCAATACGTCTGTTTTAATTTTGATAGCTAATACATGCTGAATGGGCAGAAGGGAAGTCCAGTAATCGTCACCTTGAGACCATCCAATTTAAAGGCTGACAGAAGAAAATGTTCTGTGGGCTTTTGTAGTGAGAGAGAGAGAAAGAGAAAATGCAAAGGTGAAATTTAGAAAACAGCACAAGTTTATGTAGCGTGGATTGCAGCACTGAAAAAAAGACAGTAATCCAAGATTGCTACCCATAAATTTAAAGCGTGATAACATTAAGCAGTTTATCAGGCTTTCACAGTGGCACTTACTGTGGAGAAGGGATCAAGTAACACGATTATAGAATCGGAGCTGCTGTTTTAGGACCAATATAATATCTTTTTTTTAGTGCCTATTTGGAAATTTAGCCACTGTCAAAAAATCATCTGTCCACAAAATACAATATTAAAGACACAATATTTTCGAAAGCTGCCAAGAGCACTCAGTGTTGTGTGGTGCGACTAGACGTTAACAGCTTTTGACGAACAGGGGAGGAGGAAACCAGGTAATATAATTTGGTGATTGTGGGCTTCACCCGGTACGTAACAAGCACCTGTTGTCAGTAATTGCCGCTGTCTAATCAGGAGGTGGTCCACAATCACTGTTAGTCTTACCAGAAAGTCATTGAATTCAGAGCCTCAGCACCGGCTGCACGTTCAAAGCAGGCTGGATGCTGGGGACGGTCCTTTTTCATGCCAGTTCCTGGTTTCAGCATCCCACTGACCCACGGGAGGAGAGGGTTAGGGCTGAGCGCTCTTGGTTCTGCAGGAAACCTCTGCCACCTGCATTGCCCCGTTCACCCGAGAGGGTGCTTTGAATTGCACATGCCTCAAATGCTGCTTCTGTAATTTGGCTATGCAGCCAAACAGCGTATAAAAATTAGCTGCTTGTTTTGGAATTATTATATATTTGTATTATTTCTAAATTGATGAAAGACAGTGTCACCCACCAGAAGCGTGCTCAGTCTAAAGTTGCACCAGACGGATTTGTAGGACCCTTCCAGCTGCCCGGGTGAGCACGGGGAACTACCCGCGCGCAGGGCATTGCCGTGTCGGGCAACTAGAGCAGACACAGCAAGTGCAAGTCACCCACTAAAAGCCGTTAATAGTTTGGTCAAGGGATTACACTTGCTATTCATGGTGTGTTGTGTGCATGTAGACAAATATTGCATTTGAAATACAACCCTAGGAATCTCAGAAGAATTAAATCCTCACATTAAGAGAATTGCTTAATTATCCTTAATCAAGAAGTCATTTCTAAACCTCCGGGCTGGTCTGCACCAAAGCTGAATGGGAAACAAAGGCCCAAATCGTGGAAGATGTTCCAAGCATAATACTAATGGTAATGAGACTTTTACTTCTCAACGCTGAAAACTTTGGAGAGGGATGTGCAAGCAGTTGCAAGTCACCACGGTCTAACGCAGGGGGCTGGGGCAGGAACGAGCAGAATCTGCAACTAAGGCTGTTGCTCTCTTGCTGAGATAGCGTTGGTAAATTAAGTACTTCTTCTGTTTCAGCTGAACTGTAATATGGATTAATAATGACCTTTTGTACAGGTTATGTGAGGTGTAATGCTACAAGTGTCCCAAGTATTATTTATGAATAAATTCAGTGGGATAAACAGCTTACTTCTTCCAGTTCATCAAAAGATTTAGAAAAGATTACATAAAAAAAAAACCAACCAAAACACATACGCAAAACCTTAGAGATTTTAAACTTCATTTTAATTAACACCTCTCATCTGAAAAAGAGCGAAGAAACTAATGTAAAACTGATTAGAGCCATTATCTTACTTGCGTGCTTTGTTATTTACCTTCAGGACAACTTCAGGCTCGCTCCTGCTGTGGAAAAGCGTGAGTTCTGGGAGTTGCATTTGAAGCAAGTTCCTAACTTACCTGGTTTTAAATCTTTTTTCTGAGCTTGGTTTTCATTTTGGTCAATTCTCCTGTGTTCACAATTGTAGAAGCTACAAGTTGGTACCGTGACGATAAGGAATGGTGCGTCTGATGTACGTAAGCTTGGGGATGGAGACATTCATACATGGGAGATAAAAAGCACTTGCTGGAATTTCCCTTGTTCTTGAAGAGAGAAGCGTTGTTACGTTCAGGTTTATATCCAGAAACGCACAACTAATGGTTTTCAAAATCTCTTTGATGAAATGTTATTAAAAATCATGTATTTCATGTATTAAATTTAATGCATTGACTTTTCATTTCATTTTCTTTCACTGAAACTTCTGATTGAATGTGGATTTTGTTCAAATCTGTACAAAGAAACCCTGTGCTCTCATTGTCTTTGAAGAAGATAAAACCTTAAATCAATCTTTTTCATCTCAAATCAGAGACTTCTATTCTGTTTACAATATCCCCAAACTTTAAAAGATGAATTAACATTCATAAACCAGGCATTAATGTGAATGTCCTTTTATCAGTTGCGCCCTTTAGGTCTAAAAGCAACCACTAAAAGAACTTGCAACGTATTTCTATCAATTAAAACCTTACTAAAATAAGAAGGTATGATAAAACTACCGTTTCAACGTCACAAAAACAAATTAGCCTGGGATAACGTGCGTTTCCTCATAAGCACATTTTCAGATGTACACATTGCTATGCTGGTTGTACACTAATATGGTCATTATATATAATGTGTCTAATTGTCATGTGGAGTTAATAGCTTATTACTTCTATCTTCTAATATATCTTCTAATTACAGCTATTATCCATATGCTCCATGGACCGTATCTGGAATTTCTTTCAACATGTTCTTCATATGTGTAACAGTCATAAACATCCAGCAGTAGCACTGAGCACTGATGCCGACCAGACAACAGAGGATCGTCCCCTTTCAAAGTAGCTTCCCAACAAGGAATCTCGGGGCTGGGGTCTCCCATGAGGTCAGCCAGATGCTTGGGTGAAGTGAAGGAGCTGATAACCATCTTCACCCAGAGCTCTAATGCCTCTACATGAGGTCTGTGCTCATGGTAGTCCTCTGGCTGCTGGCAAGCATTAAGTTGGAGACTAAATTAATGGCATTGAAAAGCTGCCATGGGAGTTTTTAAGCAATAATTTGAAGCCTTGAGGGATGATGTCTTCTTTACATTGGTCAGCTGTCCTCGGGGCAGCTTTGTTGGTGGCTCTGCTGGGAACCTCTATTAGAAGTTTCTCCCAGCAGCATGAGACTCCACTCCTGCTGTTCCCACGGCCACTGAGCAGCCCCAGAGCAGTTGCAGTTAAAGTGGACTGCACTGCATGAAGATTTTCTTTCTGTTTTAAGAACCACTTTTGTTGTTTTCAGGAAAAAACACCTTTTCTCAGGTGTTCTGAAATTCATCTCAGATGGTTTTACTTACTTACTGTCAGCACCTCTTATTTTTCTTTTTTTTTCTTGTTTTTTGTTGCTCTCTTGCTAGCAAGGGGGAAGGAAAGGCAAGAAAGCCAAAGCCACAAAGCCCAGTACTACATCTACCACGTAGACCAGTAGATGACAAATCATCTCATCCAAAGATCCTTGGCCCTTCCGCTCTGCAGAATGCAAGAACACGACACCAAGTAAATGGCTTCTCATAACCAGGCATCAAAGACAAAAAAAAATCAAAGCATCTTGAAGGCAGAAACCTTAAAAATCAAGTATAGCTTCTGCTGCCAAAATCCCACCAGGTTCCATTGCTTTATCCCCAGTGGGAGCGTTATGCTTCAGGAGCAAATCAAATCATTCATCCTCAGCTACCAGCTGTGAGTCTTCCAAATGAAACAAGTGGAGAGGAAAAGTGGAGAGGTACAGCAGCAAGTTGGAAAGTGAGGGGTTTTTTTCCTCCATCCTATTTCTTCTACCGTGGGCAGGTGCTGTGCTTCCTTTACCCCTAGCAGCTCCTTCTGGTTTTTTTTTCGTAGTGGGATTCCAACCCCAGCTGGTGGTGGGAATCATCTTCCAGTAGCAGTCTATGCCCAACACAAAATGGGTTTGATGGATTAAACCTGTTGCCAGGTTTGTCCCATG